GAAATTTAATGCTCTACAAAAAAGGTATCTTATATTTTTTCCGTAAACCTCATTATTTGAATGATATTGAAGATTTAAATTTGATGATTTTTAGACAAATTTCATTTTTGTTTATGAATTTTATAACTCGGCAATAAATAACTATAAAAAGTGCTCAATACAAATTTTTTTAGGAAATTAATTGCTCTATAAAAATGGTGTCTTATGTTTTGGCGATTAAATTAAGCGTTCAAAAGATATTCAGAGACAAAAATCAGTACACATGAAAGTTTGATGATGATGATATATATATATATATATATATTTTTCTTTTGTTTTGTTTTTTTCCTTAACACTTTGTTGACTGGTCTCGAGTTAACTCGTGTTTCTGTGGCCGAACGTTGCCGACTAGTCACGAGTTAACTCGTCGTGATGCGCTTTTCTTTGGCATCACGCTATTTAAAATGAAATCGCAAAGAAAATAAATATTACAATAGTGGCAAATTTTTTTGGGTACTTACGTATTAGCGCCACCGCAGCAAAATTCGCAGCAATCTACACCTTAGGTTGTTGCTACAAATCATAAAATAAAAAACTGTATTTAAAATCAAAACACTTTCAAAATTCAAAACATTTTATTTATAAAAAGTAGTCAATCGAATTTCGATGGAAAATGGGCCGATATAGAATTTAACGTAGACTCAAAACAGTCGCTATTTTCTTTCACCTGATGCTGTCGCCATAACCCTGACGAAACCCTGACGAAACTCTGACGTAACCATGACGGTTTCTGTGTGCCAGCAACAAGGTTGTTGTGTGCGAACAACAAGATTACTCTTTATTGGCGCATTAGCGAAATTTTTGCTGCGGTGGCGTTAATACGTAAGTACCTTTTTTGTACTATTGTTATACTGTTTATCATACCAAGAAGAAGTACTCAAAGTCTAATAATAAGTAAAATTTATTAACCCCTTGACTACGCGATATTTGACAATTTCGCTTGCCATAAGAAACAAGAAAATCGGTCGCGCGCTGTGTCATTCAACTGTTCCTCTGTTTCAACCCGCTTGTTTAAAACACATATTCTTTACCACGAGTCAGACTCGTGGTATTCGCTTTTGGCACAAATTCTTTACCACTAGTCAGACTCGTTGTGCTAGCTTATGGCAAAATTCTTTACCACGAATCAGACTCGTGATAATAAGTTAAGGGGTTAAAAATTACTTATATTGTGTATACTTTTCAATTCAGTTACGATATAATAGCCGGTGACATGAGTTAAATTCTTAAAAAAAAATAGCCGGTTAACAAAGTGTTAAAATATTACATCTTGGCATTGATATTAATCTGTTACAAATCCTTCCTATTAGATTTTTATAGTACACACATATTTATTTACTTACTTGATTATCTATTCCCTTTCCTATCTACAATACATACATATATGTATACATGTTTTGTATAACATATGATGTGTATCAAATATATATACATATATATTATAGATATTTGTACATAAATACGTACAACTGTAAGAACTGATAGCAATTCGTGACTAACAATGGAATATTACCAAGGAAAAAGAGTCAAGATCTAACTTAGAATCTACGTCAATAGATGTTCGGTCACGTTTCCGTGAGAAACCGGATCGTGAGTCCTTAGTTGAACTCTTTATGACCCCGATTTGATAAAACATAGTCGGAGGAAAGTAAATGGTACTGTGCACAGATACACTTATCAAACACACACATGGAACACACACATGGACACACACATGGAACACGCACATGGAACAAACACATGGAAAACACACATGGAACACACACATGAAAGACACACACATGGAACCCACACATGGAACACACAGATAAAACACACACATGGAAGAGATACATGAAACACACATCATGCTCCTATAAATCATACATCTATTATTGTACAAATTGTATATCTATATATATATATTTCTACATATGAGAAAAATAATGATACATATATACATAGGTACACACATATGTAAAAATCTTACTAACATATACAATCATTCTTATATGTTCATAAGTAAACAATATGTATGTATACATATCAGTATACAATGAGTATGTATAGAAACATACTCATTTATATACATATATGTATTTAAGTGTGTATATATATTTGTTGCAATAATATTATAAATAAAGTTGAGTATAAGAAAAGTAATAAAATGTTAAATATCAAAATGTTCATTTAAAATTAAAAATTAATAATGCAAAGTATGCCAAAAGTTAGATTATTTTATACTATATTGTAATATGTCAAATATTTTGTCAATCCTTTGGTACGAGAATAATGACAGTCGACAAAAAAGCTGTCGAAATGGTTGAAAGATGTCATTTTCTTTTCTTGGCATTGTTTACTAATCTTTGGCATGTATTTACATACATATATATATATACACAAATACATTGTATTATATTTATATGTTCATTCATTGAATCGTAGAAGGTATTTTTATTAATATTACATATATTACATACGTTAATTGATTAATATATATGTATATGTGTGTGTATTTATGTGTATTTATCTATAATGATTAAATCTTATTTTATAAGGATTTCTTATGTTGTTTAATTATTGTTAATTAATGAAAAATGTTTGTTTTATTTTAGATGGAATTACATAGCAGTCCGGGCGTAACGTCATCGAAAAAAATTTCCGTTCATGGTGATGAGACAGCATTCAAGGAATCTCTTGGGTAAGTAGTAATGTATTTATTTATTTTTTTTTTTATTAATATGAAAAAATATAAAGAGAAATGCATATCAATTATTTTCTTGTATGGTTAGTATTATATTTTTTTTTTTAAATGTAAAAACATTAATTTATTATTTATTATTTATTAATATATAATAATTATTATATATTATTATAAAATAATTATAATAATTTTCTATAATTTTTTTACATATTATTTTATATATATTTTTTATATGTTACAATAAATTATATATATTATATATATTATATATATTAAAAATATTAAATATTAAAAATAGGATTTTATATAAATTTATTTTGTAGAATAATATATAATAAATTTAAAATAAAAAATATTAAATAAATAATATACTAATAAATTTATATATAAGAAAATATAAAATTATAATTTTTAATATATATATATATATATATATATATGTTTTCTTTTTAAATTGCGTATCCGATCGATGATAGATAAAACAGAAAAAAAAAAAATAAAAAAAAAATAGAATAGAAAAAAATAAAAACAAAAATCTAAAACAACAAGGTTTGATCAACCGATCGAATTGTTTTGGTATCTTTCCATGAATTTATCTGTTAAAGGAAATTTTCTAAGATCGTTGTTTGTACAAGAAACGAACATAAATATATATGTATATATATATAAAGGCAATTTGATAATTCTCATTGGCCTCATTTCATGATAAAGTTAATAAGTAATTATCGCTACTATTCAAACTAATTAATATTATTAAAAAAAAAAGGGCACATGTCATTAATCAAAATACAGAAAATCTTTTATCGAGACCAAATTTTTTTTTTAATGGTTATTTCAATACAAAAAACATTTTGTAATAAAGTTGAGTAAGAATATAATAGGAAAAAATTTAACAATTTTTTTTTTATCATCAAATAGAATATCTAATTTATATCCAATGGAATTTTATAATATTTGTCAACATTTACAGAAAAAAAAATAAAATAAAAGAAAATAAAATTAATCACAACACATTAATTTTCTATCATTCTCTCATATTAATTTAATATCATCAGATAATTATTATTATTAAATGTGTTTAAATTATAAGAGTTCAATTCAAATCTAATTAAAGATAATTTCTTTGTAAACTCTTTTGAGTTTTTTTCAAGTTTAATTAATTTTTGACGATAATCAATAATATCAAAGTATGTGAAAAATTTATCGATTTATTATCAAACATAAAATTTACTTTGATTTTTGATAACGAGTTTTTTTTTTTTTTATTTCTCGACGTATTATTTGATCAGATGTATTTAATTTATTTGAAGTATTAGTTTAAATATCTTGTCAAAAAGAATATGAATAATTATTATCAGAATATTTAGAAAGATATAATACTTTAATACAACTGATTAAATATTTTATTAAAAGATGATACGCATTAACTTATAATTAGAGAATATTATTTGAATTATTTGTTTGTTTAAATAAACTTAATTAAACCCAAAAGATTAGGCTTGTAAATTTAAGATATTGCGTTTAAATAATAAAAGTATAATTTATTTTACAAAAGAATGTTTTGAATCTTTTTATATTACTAGGGGTGCTCCGCCACCCGTTAGTGTGGCTCACAATAAGTCCGATACACACGTCTTTAAGTCAACGAATTACCTTATACCGCCATCTGTTAGAATCTTATCGAACTAACAGAAATAATCATGACTCTTTGTTAATAAATAAATAATTCGCAATAAAATAATATTTCGATTATAAATTGAGATATAAACTATCTTATCTTTCAAGTTGGATAAAACTGCACACAGTGTGCAAAATTTTATTAAAATCGGTTTAGTAGTTTTGAAGTCCATTGCGGACAAACAACGTGACGCGTAATTTATATATATTAAGATTAGATCTAGTCATAAGTAACTTCCGATGCGGCTATGCAGAATCTATTTTTCGCATTTCCCTACTATAAGTCATCGAAACAAACGGATTTTCAATATCACTATATAGATAAGAATTCAGTTAGTCTTCTGTTAACTTTTTTATGCGGTCAATGTTACATTTAACAGTTTTTCTTAACCACTGAAATGGATAGTAAAAAGTGCATATTCGATATGTAATGCTTTAAAAATTGAAACAAGGCAATAGCACTAAAGTGGAAACTGAAAAAATATGCAGCGTATACAGTGCAGGACTGATAACTGATAGGGCAGTCAAAAATTGGTTTGTAAAATTCCGTTCTGGAGATACGATCTTAAAAGATGAACCGAGTGCAGGATGTATTTCTGACTTTGACGAACCTTTTAAAGGTAATATTGGAGCAAAATCCAATAGATACGTTCAACAATTGTAAAGATTGCAAAAAAAACTCCATGAAAAGTGTCTTGTACTTATCAGTCGCAGAAACGTCATTCTTTGTCTCATAAAAAACGAAAGTTATTTATGACTCGACTTAATGTATATATTTACATTTATCAACTAAGTCATTTTATTTAAATATAGTTCTAAAACATATATATGTATATATATATATATAGAAACAGTCACTAGAGGTAAGTATGTAAGTAAAAGGAAGTTTACCTTGAAAAGTTAAAGTAAATGTGCGAAGTAACGTGCATGAAACACTCTTGCTAAATGTATTTCGTTTTATATCGTACACTTTCACTTTGTCGTATTAACTTGGATTCTTAAGTTTTATGCCTTTAAAAAGTAAATAAACGAAGGCCTTGTTTGTTTGTTTCTTTCTTTTTTTGATATTTCTATATGATTAAGTTTTATTACATTTATTATTACGACAAAGAAATATCTCTTATATTATATATATATTAGGGTGGGTCAAAAAAATGACTTATTTTTTTTTCAAGTGCCACGCAAAAATGGGTTCCTAGACACCTTAAAAAAATTCTCACCCAATATAAGCTCTTAATTTTAATAGAAAGATCCTCCGCATCGCAGTTTTTTATTTTTTTTTTCAGTCCAATAGATTAAAATTCATACCTCATTATTTATTGATTGTACAGAAAAATGTTTTAGACGAATTTTGTAGGAAATTTAATGCTCTACAAAAAAGGTATCTTATACTTTTTCTGTAAACCTCACCATTTAAATGATATTGAGGATTTAAATTTGATGATTTTTAGACAAATTTCATTTTTGTTTATGAATTTTATATTCAGATACAAAAATCAGTACTCATGAAAGTTTGATGATGAATATCTTTTGAACGCTTAATTTAATCGCCAAAACATAAGACACCATTTTTATAGAGCAGTTCATTTCCTACGAAAATTTGTATTGTGCACTTTTTAATAGTCATTTATTATCGAGTTATAAATTTCATAAACAAAAATGAAATTGGTATAAAAATCATCAAATTTAAATCTTCAATATCATTCAAATGGTGAGGTTTACGGAAAAAGTATAAGATACCTTTTTTGTAGAGCATTAAATTTCCT